CAGAAAAATTGGACTCTGCATTAGGAGAGGATCCTGGGACTCGTGACAGTAACTCTCATGGCCATCAGTAATAGTGTCTCTGCCTTACCACAAGGTCAGCGGTTCCAGCCTATTAATCGTTCTGTGGGAGAAAGGAGGCTGTTCTCTCCTGCTAACATTTAAAGCTTTGGAAACCCACAGGGGCAGTGCTGTTGTCCTGTAGGGTCACTGAGTCGGAATCGACTGGATGGAATCGTTCCCTGCTAAATACACCTTCCCTGTGCAAGAGAGGCTCCTTGGGAAACTGCCCAAAGGAGGGGAGTTAGTATGCCTGCCGCTTGTGAGATGGGGCTGTGGAAGCTCTTAGAGAACATTCGTTAATAAGACAAAGCTTGGCTATCTATGTAACACACACAGCACCTCTCCCCTTTAGCTACTTCTTGACCCTTCCCTTTTGCAAAAATAACTTCAACCAGCACTTTCTTTTCATGACAACGAGAAAGGGTAGGGAGTAATGCATCTGCAGTAATGCCTTTGCATCGTCTGCTACCTTTTCCTTGCCAAACATTAACCTTCAGAGGCTTCCTTTCAGGTATTCAATCATTAACTCATGTCTTGGTCTGGAAGTGCTTCATCAGGCTGCCATTGATAATCCACTTAGCCAGCAAAGTTAGCAACTCTCAAATAGATTACCTATAGATTTCCAAGTCTTACCTGTGATATGCGCAAGTGCCTTTGAAAACCCAGGAGACCAGTTTAAATGGAGAGAAAATGTTCTGAGAAACGATGTACAAATGCGCTTTACACAATTGATGTGTGTATGGATTGGGATAACAGTTGTATGAGCCCCTAATAAAATGTTAAAAAAGAAAAAAAAGAAAAAAAAAGAAAACCCAGGAGACCAGGCCCACACACAGTTCAGCGAGAGAGCTGTCCCAACCCTGCTGGAGCTGGTGTTCCAGTTTACACACGAGTCTCATGAAACCTCCCAACAGAAACCATCCCCATCTCCGAAGGAAGCAGAAGCCTCATCAGGGAGGAAGTGGCAGCAGAGAAGGCGAATTGTTAGTAATTGGGACCTGCCTGCCTTCCTCCCTGAGAACAGGAGCAGAGCAGAGCCGCAGCTGACAGTACTCACTGTGCTGGCGGCCCTCCCTCAGGGACAAGCCAGGGTGCGGTCTGAAGAGCCCCAGGCTCAAAGGCGGGTGGACAAGGCAGCATTCTGCATTCACACACCATCAAGTCACTGAGAAGCCTCTGCTTGGGGGTGGGGGTGGGGATCTCTGCTCCCTCAGTGGTCTCCCTGGGAAGCGTTGTTATGGTCGTAGCTTTGTGCAGGCAAGTTTCAGGGACACATCCTTTTAAGAACTGCCCTTGTAAATGTGTTTACTCCCCCTGAAATCCTTCCTCTCTTCTGCTAAGGAGATGCCTGTTCTCCTGTGCATGGAGATCAGCAGTAACCCTTTCTGAAGTTTCTTCATTTAAATATTTCCTCCTCCCACCCCGGCTCTCCAGAGCACAGTACTTTTCCATAGGAAATCTGGCCAGCTGACGACCTGGCTTGCTTTTGGAGAGAAGAAATCTCACTTGTAGGTGAAGCCTTTGCCCGGCAGCTTGTCCACCTGCCAGAGTGAATTTCTGGAACTGTATCCACCTGCAAGTGATGGTGGTAGAGGGGTGGCTGCTAACTCAAATCAGGATTGACACTGCAAGCAGAGACCCTTTTGAGGAGCTGGTGACAACTGTGGGCCCTTTCTCCAGGAAAAAACATGCATCAGCAACATTCACAGAGTTTTTAGCGGGTTCTGGGTATCGCTTCTCGGCCTTTGGGCTAAGTTCGTGTCGAGGGTTCTGGGTGTCCAGAAAGAGTCCTTGTGGCATTGTGGGTCAGGCCTTGGGCTGCTAAGAACAAGGCCAGCAATTAAAAACTACTAGCTGCTGTGTAGAAAGCTGAGGCTTTCTGCTTCTGCAAAGATTTATTGTCTCGGAAACGGAGAGAGCAGTTCTACTCTGTCCTAGAGAGAATGGACTTCAAGACAGCCACGGACTGTAGGGTAAGATATTTTTACCTAAAAGAATAAAATAATTTGTGATTGCCCTTTCACAGACATTATTTTATTGTCTCTCAGAACATTCTTGAGGCAAAGTAGGTATCATTGCTTCCACTTTGCATGTGGGAACCAGACTCGAGTAAACCATACTCACTGTCTAGTAGGCTCTGACTCACAGTGACCCCGTAGGACAGTAGAACTGCCCCTGTGAGTTTCTGAGGCTGCCACTCTTCAGGGGAGTAGAGAACCTCATCTTTCTCCTGAGGAGTGGCTGGTGGTTTCGAACTGCTGACTTGAAGTTAGCAACCCAATGCATAGCCCACTATGTCACAAAGCTCCTGTCATTGTCACGACAGAGAGGATAAAATAGTGGCAAAGGAGAGTAAGCCCAGAAGTATCAGCCTCACCTGGCAATTTGTTCTAAATACAAAACCTTGGTTTCCACCCCAGAGCTAAAAACACCACCAAGAACCAGAAAGTTGCTGTGGAATAGAGTCCAATTCGGGCTGCTCCCAAATGTGTCTGAGTAGAACACAGCTCCTCCATAGGGTTTGGTGATTGATTTCTCAGAAATGGATCCTCATGTCTGCCCTCTAAGGTGTCCTTGGGAGGACTGACCCCCCCCCCCCCCCCCCCCCCCCCCACACACACACACAGACACACCTGGTTGTGAATTGGGTGAAGGTTTTCAGAGCAGATCCCTTCCCCACTCGGCAGTTCATGCTCACTGCCTTCCATGATTGCACCCCCCACAATGTAACAGCATTCATTCCTTTGTTTCCTGTTGCCAAGCCTCCTCCTCTCCCAACCCTGCTGAACCTTGTCCTTTGGAGATGCTGCCCTTTTTTTCTCCAAAGGTTAATTATTCTAAGGTATGCATATCTCCCAGGTATTAAGCTACCCCTTAAAGACCTGTTCATTGTTAGGCTGAAAAGAGAGCCGTGGGGTGGTGTGTGGGTGTGCGTGTGTGCATGCGGGCGTGTGTGCCAGACCTGAAGAGCCAAGTCTCAGGGTTCTACTTTCCACCTCTTGTTTAGTAGCCAGGTGCGCTCACTGTGTGGACCTCCCAGGCAGTCACCCTACACTCGCGAAGCGGAAGCACCAGGGTCCTAAGGGGCTCGGAAATACGTGTTTTCATAAGCCACCCCGGTAACTTCGATGTGTGTTGACAGTGTGAGAACGCCAGGGTTACAGTTGTGAAGAGGCCAGGTTTCCCTTGTCAGTAATGGTATCCTGAAGTGTCTTCTGGTCGAATTTGAGCAGCCTCAGGCTCAGAGGGAGTCACTTGAGCCAACTTAGAGTGTAGAAAAGATACCAACTAGTTCGTCTCCGGTGTTTGTCATACAAGTAAACGACTGAGTGATAGTGGACCTGAAAATGTGAGTTCAATGTTGGAGGTTGCCAAGGGAAAGGTGTTAGATGTTTAATTCTTGGGCCCCAGGACCATCTGGGATGGTGTTATTTCTGAGACCCAATCTGGTAAGAAAATAGCATAAATTAAGAGAAATGAGGTGAAGCTAGTATACCTAGGACTAGGGCCAACGGAGCTCTTTGGTCTTCTGATGAATGCCGCAGGGTGTGGGCCAGCAGGGAGAGTTTCACTCCTGACCCAAAGGCAGGCTCCAATTCCAGCGCCATCACTTGCCTGCTGGGAGACCCGAAGGTGAATCCCCTCTCCTCCCTGAGCTCCAATTTCCTCAGATGTCAAACGGGGATAGTAAGGCCTGAGGTTTTAAGATTCTTGTGCAGATTAAAAGAGCCAATTATACATAGGACTGGCAGCCTATATGCACTTAGTAAAGACCAGGGGACTTTAAAAAGTTCATGGAAAATAGAATGGAAAGATAATGGAATTTTCCCACAAACTCTAGCAAGCCATTCCTGTTAGCTCTCCTCCCCTCAAGGAGTCCTCGGGCGGGCGGTGCAACCTCATTAAGCCCTTTAGCTAGCTGGAAGCTCAAGTCCACCCCGAGGTGGTTCCAGAGAAAGGCCTGGTGATCTAGCACCCCACCCCCACCCCCCAAGCAAAACCCCTGTGGAGCACAGTTCTGCTCGGACCCCCATGGGGTTGCTGTGGGCCAGCCTGACAACTTAGTTTTGTTCTCCCCCAGATGGCAATAAGTACATCGTATTGCCTTTTTATTCTCCTGAAATAAAAGATTATCCTGAGGGGGGCGGGCAAAAATCAGCTCCATTTTAATCTTCTGTCTTGTGCTCAACCAGCAGTCACTGTTAAAGAATCCAAATCATATTCCCGTCCTTGTTGACTATAACATAGTTTAGCTGGTCTCTTTCCAAAACATCAGTGAGAAGCCCGATTCCTGGCCCTTTGCTTTGCTTCTTTCTGTGGCACAGTCACCAGGAGGAGGAGGCACGGAGGTGCGGCACTCCCCTGGCAGCCACACCTTTCCCTAGCTGCACACTCTTTGGGAAGAAAAACCCCCAGTGTCCCCCAGCAATCGTGAGCCACACCGTGGAGACCACTGGGTCAAAACACGTGTGTGAAGGACCCACAGGAAGGCGTGGGGCAGAGGGCTGAGGACGTGTCCCCAGGACGGGCATCCCAAGGACACGGAGCCTCTCAGAGCACTTGGCACCATTAGTGCCTTTTCTTACCGTGTGAATCAGTTCCCACATTGTTTTAGGGGCTCGGTGGTTAATGTTTTTCTAATGAGACTAGGTTAACAGAAATCATCTGACAGGGAAAAGGAGGAGGTAAGGTTAAAACGGAACCTAATTAGCAAGTTAATTATAGCAGGGGAAAGTGCACCAGTTATATAAATAAGCTATTGTTATGCTCATGCAAGTTGGGCCTTGTCTAGGGACTTGTTAAGGTTTAGAGGTCAGAGGATCCGTGTAATTGGGTGTTTAGGGGAAAAAGGGTGGGGGGGCTGTGTAAGAACACAGCCACCCGACTTCAGAATGGCTGATGAACCACTAACGGAAGTGCCTTATTAAAGTGGAGCTCTGTGGCTGGCAGTCAGTCTTGTTGGAGCTGCTTCAGGGATTCCTGGGAAAAGGGTAGCCTCCCCACCAAAAAAACCCCAAACAACCAAACTAGTTGGAACCAGAGCCAACTGAATTGCTGATGAGGAAGGTTTAAAGGCCTAGCCACCAGGGTCCCTGGACCACAGAGGTGGCGGTAAGACTGGCAATGTCACTATGCGGAGCAGCAAGAAGAAGTACATTGTCAGTGGCAGCGCTGGGGTGAAAGCCCAGGTGAGGCTCCGCTCCCCTTTGCCAGGCTTGCTGCTGTGAACCCAGCTGCTTGTACTCCCTCCCTGCCTCCTGCCTCTGGCACCAGGTCAGCCCTCGCCCTCTCCCCCTCCCTTGCCTTAATGCTGGTTGGAATTCGGCGGGTCTCTGAGGAAACCAGTTACTCTGAAGGCTCTGGTGGGTTACAGACAAGGCAGGAAAGTTTGGGGTAGACCGCCAAGGCTCCACAGTGGCGGGGGGTGGGAGGTGGGGGGTGGGGACGGGCAGAGAGCACTCCTGGGTGAAGAGGCAGACTGTTGAGTCAGGAACATCACCGCTCATAAGGATGATGGATGGAAGAGAGACGCCAGGGAAGGACCTGCTTCCCCATAGATCCCAGTTACTAGTATAAGAGAAACATTTCTTGCGAAAACTGTCTACCTTCATATATTTATGTGGCGAAAGCAGTCTCTAATATCTTTTTGTCTTAAGGAGTCCAGTGTCTAACCAGTAAACAAGCTCTTAAGGCCGTGAGTAGGGAAAGCCTCTGTAGCCCAATGTTCTCCAGTGCTGAAGGACAGCCCTGACTGTGGTGGGCGGGAGGACAGTCCGTCAATGGACACACTCTATAGTGAGGAGAACTCGGTGTAGGGGAACTCTTTAAGATAAATGATCCATCCAGGTACTACATGGTATCGCTTTATTTGAGTAAGTCGGTATGTACCCACTCAGGGAACCTGCAACGCTGGAGAACTAGCCTGACTGGCCCCCTCTAGTGGTGTGTGGTGGTGCTGGTGGTGGTGTTACATGAGGAGGCTTCCCAAAAGTCACAAATAAATGGAATGAAAAGCCCAGACTCTGGGTCACTGCCAACAGGTCGATGCCAACTCATAGTGAATAAAGAGACAGTGGGTTTCCCCACGAACTGTGTGAAACCCCCTTGTTTCTCTAAGGCAGGGTTAGTGGGCGCTGTTTAGTGACTCCATGTGAGTCTCTGGGAGTCAGTCACGACTCCTTTTCTCAAAAGAGCAGACAGACAGGGACATCTCGAACAAGGGTGGTGCAGACAGGGACATCTCGAACAAGGGTGGTGCGCTAGTATCCGGTGAGGAAGCCTCACCACTGTCCCCTCATCTTCTCGTCCTTTTCCTTCCCAACTTTTTGTTGCTCTTAAAATTATTCTAACAGTAGACTTGTCTTAATGCTTACTATAGTTATTAAAATTCACCAGGTCCAGGAAGTGGAGACAGCTAGAATAGAATGATTGAATGCTACGTGCCAGGCATCTGTGTCTGAGGATACAGGGTCGGGACACCCAGCCCCTGCCGCTGTGTTCAGTGTGGCGAGTGTTCGGCTGCTTCTATGAGTGCATAGAAAGAGCACTTCATCCCTTTGGAATAAGGTGCACGTTACCGAAAGGATCCGTTTTGGCATTTTTTCATTTTGCCAAGAGCTGCTAATACTGGAAGTCAGAAAGAACTAATCCAATGACGTTTCCTGTTGGCGTCATTTGTTCTTATGGCCGGAATGAACAAATCCAGTGTGGCCTGGGTTGTGACTTGTCTTCATCCGTGCCCTACTGCAATGACGTGATGGCTACCGCCCCCTGCAGGAAATGTAACCATCACCACCTGCTTTCATTCCGGTCAGCTCTACCCGTATTCTGCATCAAGGACCCACCTTTTTCCATCAGCTGTCAGATCTATGGTCCTTATCAGTGCACCCACCTCTGTGCCAGAAGAATCTCAGCAAACATTCAGGTAGGGAAAAAGAATAGTCATTAAATAACAGAGATGAGCTTCGATTTATAATATATTAAAAAGTATCAATATCCTCCAACCGTGGAAGAGAAACTATAAGAAAGTTACAGTTGTCTGAAGCAGCACCTCAGAGTTTGGGTCATTTGTCTACCCTTCCATGACATACGATGCTTAGACAAATGATCAAGCTAGGACTTCGAGGTACTTTATGATTCCAAATGTTAAGAAAAATAAATCTCACTGGTGAAGCAGCCAGCTGATAACTGAAAGGTTGGCAGGTCAAACCCACCAGGTGCTCCTTGAGAGAAAGCTGTAGCCGTCTGCTTCTGTAAAGATGCCAGCCCTGGACACCCTCTGGGCAGTTCCCCTCTCTCCTGTAGGGTCACTCTGAATCAACTAGACAGCAAGTAAGATGCACCTGAAAGCTAATTTTTCTCACTCGTTTTTTTAAACTACTGGACTGCTTGCAAGACCTGGTAGGGGTCGGGAGTGGAGTGGATTTACTGAATTTCTACCTGACTCCGTGTGCATCCTTGTGAAATTAGTAGTTATCTTCATGCATATGTGAGAAAATGAGACTCACGGTACCAGCACCACTTAGCTAATAAGTGGCTTAGCAGGATTTGAATGTATTTCCAGAAAGTTCTATCTGAATGCAAAACCTATTTTGTTGTTATTGTTTATACCACATTTCCAGCATCAGAATCTTGAAAACTGGGCAGGGTGTGGGGGCAGTTATTTTACCTCCGTTTTCTCATGTAAATATGGTGCTGTTAGGTGTTGATTAATAGGTCCCAATTCATAGTGATCCTATGCAAAAGAGAAGGAAAGAAACCCTGACTGTGCCATCTCACAATTGTTCGTGTGTTTGAGCCCCTTGTTGCAGATAATGCAACACTGTGTCAATCCACCGTTCCAGGGCCTTCATTTCACTTCACTTCACTTCCCACTTTATTTCAGTGAAGAGATTTATGTCTCATAATTGAATGTGACTCAACTTTCTAACCAAGTTATCTCCTTCTGTCTTTTTTGTTAGGGGTAGAGGGGACACAATGTTATTCTCAAAAGTATGTCAGAGAAAATCCAAGATTTAAATGTGATAGAAGCATAGTGGGTAAAGTATGAGAATTCATTCCTCTCTTCAAAGAGTCGTTCTGAACATTCCAAATCCGGGTTGATGTAATCAGGTCAGCTGAGAGAGAAGATAGGAGCCGATAATGTAAGCCTTGCATGGCTGTCCCAATGTGGAGATTCTTGTCCTGTTTATAACTGGGATTCTTTTCTTAGCAGATCCAATTTGCTGACCAGAAGCAAGAATTCAACAAACGTCCCACCAAAATTGGACGCCGCTCCCTGTCTCGCTCCATTTCTCAATCATCAACTGACAGCTACAGCTCAGGTAAGTGCTGAGGCAGTGGGCCCTCCCTTGTACCCCAAGGCTAATTACACATGATCAAGCCTGTGCTTTGGAATAAACATTTTGACTCCAAGTCAAAATTGAAGACCATAATTTTGGATAGAATCCCTGGGTTCCTCTTGGGAATTTAGAGTGGAGCTTAATGGAAGGAGGCTTCTTCTTCCAATAGAGGCATAAAGGAGATTATTAAAGAGCCTGAGGTCTTTGATTTACTCAGAAGGGTAGGAACATTTACACTGAGCAGCGTGTATGATTTTTGTCATCTTTTGAACATAAGTGAGAGGTTCACCACGACTGTATCCAGTACTTCCCAATTGAAGAGAAATTTTTGATTGCCCCAAGCTACAATAAAGACATTCTAGCAAGTTCGAACAAGTGAGCCCTTTGCCTTGTCTCCTGAGCTGTGATGTTGGAGCGCGTGTTCCTCCTTTCCTTCCTGTGTGGTGGCCCTAACTCAGTGCCGGGTAGTGCAGTGCCAGATGGCCTGTTCCAGTACAGGGCCCTTGAAGTCCCTGACCATTTTTGCAGCAGTCGCCAGGATGTGTCTGATCCAATAGGCAGGGGTTTTTACTTTGTTTTTCTGTCCGAATATGGTAGGAACCCAAGTGTTTACCCTAGTTACCTCTTCGCATTACTAATAATATTCCTTAGAAAATTTTGGTCCCCATCTGAAATCTTAACCTGTTCTTTTTTTTTTTTTAAACTTCTTTTTTGGGGGCTCATACAACTCTTATCACAATCCATACATACATCAATTGTGTAAAGCATATTTTTACATTCTTTGCCCTCATTATTCTCAAAACATTTGCTCTCCACTTAACCCCCTGGAATCAGCTCCTCATTTTCCCCCCTCCTTCCCCACACCCCATTCCCTCATGAAC